CCCCACAGGATGTGGTAAGCCTATTCAACCCCTCCTTCCTGTGTCAACATAAGAAAAGAGGAAAGTGCTTATGGAAGGCAGTAAGAGCAGCTACAGTATGGACTATATGGGAGGAAAGAAACCTAAGAATCTTTTTTGGAAAAAGCAAAACAAAGGAGGAAGTTATTGAAGCCATAAAAATCAGAACTGCACATTGGGTGAAGACTATGAAAATATTCCGAAACTACTCCACGAATGAGATCCTAAGAAATTGGGCTGAAGTAGCACAAACAGATATACCCAAAGTACCTGTATGTATGGAATGGAAGCCACCGGCACTAAACAAACTAAAACTGAATTTTGATGGGAGTTCTCTTGGCAACCCAGGAAGGGCAGGCATAGGGGGTGTGTTTAGAAGTCATCTGGGTGTGGTGGTGGCACTCTATTCAGGACCAATAGGTTTTGGTGATTCAATACAGGCTGAATCTCTAGCCACTTCAAGGTCTAAAGATGGAAATAGGAACAACAGACTTGGAAATAGAAGGAGATTTACTATTGGTCATCTCTTGGGCCAAAAACACCACATCAGCACCTTGGAAGCTCAAATTTGTCTTCAGAGAAATTGACACAATTGTAAGGAAGTTCAACTATAAGTTTAGTTGGGTCAAACGGGATGAAAGTGGGATGGCGGATACGCTAGCAAAACAAGGGGCAAATAGATCTTCCTTGTACTGGGAAGAATTGTAACTAATTACTGGAGATTGCAGTCGGTCGCTCTGCAATCTTTATCTATTGTAACTTAATTTCTCTGTTATTAATGAAAGTTTTTTTGCTGATAAAAAAAAAGACTAGCAGGTGGTCTCCTAATTCAGTGGAGGAGATTTTCTCCAAGTGGCCAAATGTAAGGGGAAATGTTAAGGCAAAGATCGCCTGGAGCTACATTCCTTTTGCTGTCTGCTGGGAAATTTGGAAAGAAATAAATAGAAAAATATTCGAAGAGAAGGCTCGAACAAGGGAGCATATCACATTACTATGCTGTAAAAGGATTATGGACTGGGTTCTCATTCTCCCAAAGTTTGAAGGAATTACAAAAGAAGACCTTGGTTCTGGTTTTTGGAACATTCTGGAGCTGGCTTTAAAGTTTTCCTTATGTTTGGTTTATGTATCTCTCTTTTTTTCTATTGAGTGTCTCCTTTTTGTTTGTTTCCCTCTCTTTTGTAGCTTTGTTTTCTGGTGATATTCATCACTATCAGATGTACCGCTTTCTTTTATTAATAAATTTTCTTTTTTATTTATTACCAAAAAAAAAACTCTCATAATAGAGCTTTTGGCGGCAACCAATTCCCATTTATTCTTCCCTCGTCAGTTGTCACTTTTCCAAAACTAAAACCCCTTTTCTTCTTCCCCATCTCTTTGGTCGTCTAAATCCATGAGTTCTGTACTTTTGTTGAGTGTTTTCTCAAGAAAGCACTGTGTTTTCAAGAACGAGTTAAAGGGAAATGGAAGTGATAAGCAAAACACTCTGCGTGGCCAACCAATGAGAAGCATTGGAGAAATCTACAGAAAAAAAACTACCTTGAGAGAAATATCTAAGCTCCAGAATTTTTGGTTTGTACTCTTTCTTTTACTATTTAATATTAATGAAAGCCATAGTTATTGATAAAAAAATTAATTGTTAATGTGAATCTTTCTGTTGTATAACAATCAACAGCACCTTTTCTTCTTCTTCCTTACAGGTCGTAAGGAACAGATAGAGAAGGCAGAAGAGCAAGAGCGCTTGGAGAAAGAGAAAGAAGAGAAGAGAAAAAAGGAAGCCGAGAAGAAAGCTGATGAGGAAAAGAATCAAGCCACTGAAACTTCTTATGATGATGTAATTGGGCTTTTGGAGGACCCTTCAGATGAAACTAAAGTGGTAATTATTGACTTTGATGCTTTACTTTTATTTATCTCTATGATATTTAATCTTTTTCATCTGTTATCCTACAGTTAAAAGAAGAAATCACCTTAATTATGATATCTTCTTTATTGATAAAAAAATGATATCTTCTTTCATGTACATATGTGATCAATTTTGAAGTTTGAAGCTGAGAAGAAAGCTGAAGAGGAAAAGAATCAAGCCACTGAAACTTCTTATGATGACATAATTGGGCTTGTTGAGGACCCTCCCGATAAAACTAAAGTGGTAATTATTGAGTTTTGATGCTTTTACTTTTATTTACCTCTGATGTTTATTTTTCATCTTTATCCTACAGTTAAAATAAGTAATCACCTTAATTATGGTATCTTCTTTCATATACATATGTGATCAATTTTCACGTTTTGGCCTTTGATATTTTTGACTCTTTCACCTTAATTATGATATCTTCTTTATTGATAAAAAAATATAATATCTTCTTTCATGTACATATGTGATCAATTTTGAAGTTTGAAGCTGAGAAGAAATCTAATGAGGAAAAGAACCAAGCCACTGAAACTCTTTATGATGACATAATTGGGCTTGTTGAGGACCCTCCAGATAAAACTGAAGTGGTAATTATTGAGTTTTGATGCTTTTACTTTTATTTACCTCTGATGTTTCTTTTTCATCTTTATCCTACAGTTAAAATAAGAAATCGCCTTAATTATGATATCTTCTTTCATATACATATGTGATCAATTTTCAAGTTTTGGCCTTTAATATCTTTGACTCTTTCATCATAAGTCAGTATGGAAAATAAAATTAAAAAGATTTATCTTTGCAAGTTGATGGCTTTAATTGATGACAAAAGCTCCTTAAACATATTGGGTAATGCACCTTAGTTATCATTGGCAGAGTACCTTGTTGCCTAAGCACTTACATTCCTGTCTAGGCATGGTCTGCACATTGGTTTTTAAAGAAAGAAATTATAATATAAAATTTTTGTGCCATATTGGTATACATATATTTTAACTTTCTTGTCATTTTAGATTAAAAAATAATAAAGAATATCCAATAATAGTGAAATCAAGACACATTATATGATATATCATTCATTTCACAGGGCTATATCATTTCTAGTTGTAAATTGCACTGTTAACAGCCTTTTGATTGTCACAAAACAAATTAACATGTTCTGTAATTTTTATATTGATCTCTAGAAGGTATTTCAACCATATTAACTTACAAGTAGAATGTGTCATGACCTTATGCTTTGCTTTTTCTTTGTGCCTAGCCATGACATCCTGTTTCTTGCTCTTCTAAGTTACTAAGTTGCCTCCTAGAAATGTAAGAAACCAGTGATAGACCTATACAAAGATGATCGGGCCCAATTGGCATTTGTTTAGCCTTCTAACTACAAACTACTGTCCTTCTTGTATAGTAGACCGTGTTTTGGTGCACCCTTCGAGTATTGCAGAACTTTGATGATGGCTTCCCAGTGAGATGTTCAAGGACTGTGTGTGAACTAGCTTAACATTTTCACACCAAAGGAGATATTAGGTCCAATGTTGGTTAGGTGCTTCAACTTCCTAACCAGTATCTAGATCAAGTGGTTCTACCTGATTATTGATTCTCTTCACATTAGGATCCATCATTGTATCTATTGGCCTTACTCCTTGTAGAGTTGGTTAGCATGTTATTTATGTTGCTGTTAGCATGTTAGTTATTTCAGTTACTTGCAGCTGCTGTTTATTTGTGTTAACAGTAGGGGCAATATTGAAGTTCATCATGTTTTAAGTTATTAATATAAATAGCTGAGTGAGGCGGCAATCATTAACTGACCCACAATCTTTTCTGACATCTTCTCTCTACAATTTCTCTCTTCTCTCTCTCTCTCTCTCTTCTTTCTCTTCTATTCTCTGAACTTTTTCTTATTGAATTCTCATCTAGTGTAGGACTGGTTAGTCTCTACAAAACAAGTTGGTATCACTTATCAGAGCCAACCTAGGGTTTCTCATGTGAGTCTAATCAGACCGATCACCGATTGCATGAGAACTTCCTAGGGTTGGAAGTTTTAGCAAGAATAGTCCATTGTCTTGTTCTTGGAGATTACTGGTTGAGTGCAGCAGCTTTCAAGAGGTTGTAGAGCCTTGGAAAGTGTCCAATGATCAGGAAGAATCAGAGGGAAGGAAAGAATTTCAAGATTAGGGTTCAGACAAGGATTGGAAGTGGCAGCCAGGCCTTTCTGGGTAAGTTTCAGTTTTCTTTTGAGATCGATAGCAATCAGAAGTTGGTTAGAGTGATCTGGAAGGAGTGGCTGGTTTTCTCTTAATTTCTCTGAATTGTTTTTAGGGTTTTCCCAAACATATGATCAGTTCTAGTTGGTTAAACCCTAGCATTCTGACTGTTATTGGTTTCTGGGCAACAGTTAGATCTGTTTTAGCAATCAGATTGACTGATAATAATTTTTGGGAAATTATTAGATCTGTTTCAACATTTTTGGGTGTTTGCTAGACCCTTTTCAACATTCTAAGTGGGCTGTTAGCAATTTCTGGGTGCTAATTACTTCTATTTCAGCATAAAAAGGATTCTTTTGATAAATTTCTTGATAGAGATGACAGGAACTGAGTTAAAGACTCAAGGGGAAGGTGTGTTAGGGGCTGGAAACATAATTGAAAATACTTTTCAAATTACCACTGTCAAATTCGATGGATCAAATTATTTGGAATGGGCTCAGTCAGCTATGATGGCTATTGGGGGTAGAGGTAAATTAGGCTATGTGATGGGGGATGTAATGAAACCAGTCAAGGAAGACCCATTATATGCCAAATGGGTTCAGGGAAATATTTGGTCATGACTTGGTTGTGCAAATCCATGGAGCCTCATATCAGCCGAAATTACTTGTGGGCCAAAACTGCCAAGGAAATTTGGGACATCATGAGAGAAACCTACTCCCAGTCACTTAATGTTGCTAGGGCCTATGAACTGAAGTGTGAAGTCAATAATCTTAAGCAAGGAGAGAAACCGGTTTCAGTTTACTTTTCTAATTTGAACTCTTTGTGGCATGAAATTGATCACCTAGGGACAATTGATTGGGAAAGTCAAAATGATGTACGGACATACAGAAAACAGGTTGAAACCAATAGAGTTTTTGAATTCCTAACTGGTTTGAATCCAGAATATGATTGTGAGGCAACAACTTCTCACTAGAGAGAGTTTGACCTTGTTTCAGGCCTATTCCATAGTGCACAGTGAAGAAAGTAGGAGAAAAGTTATGCTACAATATCAGCTTGTGGAATCAGCCCTAGCAGTAGAGGAGGATATACTAAGATGTTTTAAAACATTGGTAAGTACATGACCTAGATAGCCAGGACTAACATTATTTAACAATAATGGCCTTAAAAGGTAGAGGATATACTCAGATGTACACAAGTATGGATGGAAAAACTTGTAGAGACTCATTTGTCTTTTACATATTCTTTCCTTCTTTGGCTGAGGGGCATAACTGTCTTTTCTCATCTTTGTACACAACTCATATATAAGATAACATTTTAGGGCGCTTGAGACAGTAGAACACACCCTTTTATCTGGTTCTCTCTCTCTTTTGTTCGAACTGAGTTGACATGGTATCAGAGGAGGTCTTTCAACCTGTCTTTGGTTGAAATCTGTTGGGTTTGTGAGGTCAACCTACCAGATCGACCTATCTACATTAACTTTGGATCTCTCTGGGTGCTGTATTGATCAGCACAAGTTTCTTATTTTTTTTTGGAAAATTGCCATCAGCCCTAGAGTTTTCCCTCTTTCTCTTGATTGGCTACTTCAGTCACTGTGAAACTTCAGATCTGAAGTCAACCAGGTCTGCTTTAATTATTTCTACAATTTATTTCTGGTTTGGATTGCATTTGAGGGGTGCTTTGCTCTCTTCCTTGTTCGACAGTCCAGGAAACTTACCTTTTTTGAAATGTCATCAGTTCACAACCTTATACTGGCTGATCTGTAATTGGGTATGATCTCTCATTGTGGTGTGATTGGACACACATCTGATATGAAGTTTTGGCTTACTTGGACCTTCGGCTGCCCTTTTTTCTTGAGTTTCTTGATTTATTGTTGCTGAAATGGTTGTGGAGAAAAGGGATATTCTCCTAGTGAAGTTCAATGGGACCAACTATGCTTTCTGGAAGTTCCATTTCCAGTTCTATGTTGAGGGAAATGGCCTGTGGGGGATTGTCGGTGGTTCCACAAAGCAACCCCGTGAGTTTGATTCCAAGGGGCTGAAACAAGGAAGTTTCTAGACTGATATTGCTGTTCCAGTGAGAAGTTTCTAGACTGCTAGTGAGATGTTCAACTATATGGAAAAGGTGTATCAACAGTCCAACATCTCTTTTTTTTTTGATCAATAAACATCTCTCATCAATATCAGATTGAGATGGAGATTTTTTCTTATAGTCAGGGTGAGAAGAAAATACAGGAATATTATATTGGCTTCGTGAACCTATGGACAGAATATAAATTGGTTCATATTGGGTGAACTTTTTAATGCACTTCCTAATGCATCTGTGACTTGAGTATGAAATTATAAAGTCAAACATTCTCAATAGGGGTACTCCACCCACACTTGAGACAGTTTTGGAAGAACTTCTCAGAGAAGAAACTAGGCTCACTACACAATCGACCATGGGTCCATAGTGCTATGAATGCAAAGAGTATGGGCATGTCATCTCACATTTCTTGAAGAAAAATTTGTGTACTTATTATTGTAAGCAACGTGGGCATATAATCGCTGAATGTCCTACTCGGCTAGCAGGGTAATGGTCCAGGTTCTAAGAATAATCAATACAAGGCCTTCCAAACAACAATTGAAGGTGCAAATACATGGAATACCACCTCTTCAGTAGGAAAGGATGAGAGTTTTGGAGTTATTACAGATGAAAAAATGTGGTAGCTAGTATCCTCAACCATTTCCTTTGCGTTTTCAGCCATCGGTTTCTTTGGTGAGTCATCCTATTAGTTCCTCTCCTAGTTACTTGTGGATCATTGATTTTTGTGCCTCTAATAATATGACAGGGGCATACACTAGTCAGTCTGTTAAATCCAAGTCCTTGAATAAGCATATTGTTATTGCTAATGGGCAAAAAATGGATATTGTTGGATGTAATGATCTGTCTTTGTCTGCATTTGTTAATTCCTTCTTTCATCTTCTTAAGACTATTTGTTCCCAAATTTATAACAAATTTGATTTCAATTGGCCAATTAGTTGAGGATGGTAACATTGTTTCCTTTTCCCATGATGGCTGTTTGATACAGGACTAGTGCACTGGGACAGTGAAGGGGAAGGGGCGTAAATTGGGTCGGTTATTTTCCTTGGAACTCGAAAAGACATCGGAACGTTCTTTCACATCTTGTTTTCTTTCTACTACCCCTAGTTCTAAAGTTGTTTGCAGAAATTATTTATGGCATAGGAGATTTGGTCATCCCTATGCAAATAAACCCGAGTCTTTGTTTCGTGATGGACTTTTGTCTTCTAAAGGTACTTCTTCTAATAATGTTAATAAAGATTGCATTTCTTGTTGCTTGAGTAAGAGCTATGTTTTACCTTTTCCTTCTAATGCTGAACATGCTTTTGTTCCTTTTT